CCCCCCCCTCGCTGCTCAACTCCCTGTTTGCCTCCTCATCCCTCTCGCCCGCCTGCCTCACCTCCCCGCTGGGCACCCACCTCCTCATGAAGCGCAGGGCCCCCCAAAGCACGGGGCCTGGGGCTGTCGCCCCGATTGGCCATACCCTAGGGACAGCTCTGCCCCCATGCTGGTGGCTGGAAGTTGAAGCTAGATAAATTCAGACGGGAAATAAGCACACATTTTAACAGTGCGGGTAATTGACCGTCGGAACAACTTACCGAGGGTGATAGTGGAGTCTCCATCACTGAAAATCTTTAAATCAAGATTGAATGTTTTTTCTAAAAGTCAGGCTCTGGTTCAAACGGGAACTGTTCCAGGGAAGTCCTATGGCCTGTGTTACAAAGGAGGTCAGACTAGATGATCACAATGGTCCCTTCTTGCCTTGGAATCTAGGAATAATCTTCACCCACTGAGCACGTCCTCCCTAATTCCCCAGCACTCGAGAGGAGGGCTCTGTAATTCCCCCCCAATCCCCGCCCCAGCGTGCAGGGCTATGTAATTCCCCCCGCACACAGGGCTCCAGACAAGCTCCACCAGCTTCTCAAGAAAGTAGAAGGAAGTTTCAGGGAGGGAACTTTTTTATTCACATCGGACAGGAAGTGACCCGGACACGGCACGGAACCGGGAAACTAAACAAAGGTGTCTGGAGAGAAGGGAGGTCTCTGCTCCCCCAACCTCAGGGCGCGGAACGGGCAGGTGCCGTGGGGAACAGAGTCGTCATCCACTCCAGGGTGATGGAAGCACTGGTGGAAGTGGGGAAGGGGGTTCTTACCCATCCTCTCCTGGAGGAGAAGGGTGTGTGTGTGTGTGTCTCTCTCTCTCTCTCTCCAGACTCCCTGTCAGATCAGCAGGAGGTGCGAGGTCTCCAGACAACTGGATCTGCAGCAGCGGCAGCAAAAGGCTGTCTCACAAAGCCAATGGGTCAGCTGCTGCCATGTCCTGGCCCCAGACAGGCTGGCGGAGGATCACTCCCGCTGGCTGGCCCTAGCTGCGGGACCAAGGGCACCGTGGCCCCCGTGATGCAGCCTGCGGTGGGTGATGACATTGGAGCTCTGGCTGAAGCGTTTCCCGCAGTCGGGGCAGACGTAGGGTTTCTCTCCGGTGTGGGTCCTGCGGTGCTTGGTGAGGGAGGAGTTGACATTGAAGCCTTTCCCACAGTCCAGGCAGACGTAGGGCCGCTCCCCAGTGTGCACCCTCTGGTGAGTGGTGAGGTGGGCTCGCTGGCTGTACTGCCGCCCGCACTCACCACACCGGAAGGGCTTCTCTCCCGTGTGGATGCGCCGGTGCCGCACCAAGTTGGAGACCACGGCGAAGCTCTTCCCGCAGTCGCCGCAGATGAAGGGGGTCTCCCCGGTGTGACTGCGCTGGTGGGTGAGGAGGTAGGAGCTGGTGGTGAAGCCCTTCCCACAGTCGGAGCACTTGTAGCGCTTTTCGCGCCGGGAGGCGCTCTGGTGCCGGGCCAGGTGGGGCCGGTCACTGAAGCCCTTCCCGCAGTCAGCGCAGCTGTAGGGCCGCTCGCCGGTGTGGGTGCGCTGGTGGGCGATCAGCTTGGAGCTGATGGTGAAGCCTTTCCCACAGTCAGGGCACTTGTAGGGCCGCTCGCCCGTGTGCAGCCGCTGGTGGGTCAGCAGGTTGGAGCTGCCGCTGAAGCATTTCCCGCAGTCGCTGCAGGCGTAGGGCCGCTCCCCGGTGTGGATGCGCCGGTGCTTGATGAGGTCCGAGCTGACGTTGAAGCACTTCCCGCACTCCAGGCAGACATAGGGACGTTCGCCGGTGTGCAGCCGCCGGTGGGTGACCAGGTGGGAGCGCTGACTGCAGCGCCGCCCGCAGTCGGGGCACTTGTAGGGCTTTTCGCCCGTGTGGCTCCGCTGGTGACGCACCAGGTTGGAGACCACGTTGAAGCGCTTCCCGCAGTCCCCGCAGGCGTAGGGTTTCTCTCCGGTATGGATCCGCCGGTGGGTGACCAAGGCTGAGCTGTGCCCGAAGCCTTTCCCGCAGTCTGGGCATTTGTAGGGCTTCTCGCCGGCATGCCCACGCTGGTGCCGCAGGAGGTTGGAGAAGGCACCGAAGGTTTTGCCACAGTCAGCGCATGGGTGGGGTCTCTTTCCCCCGTGGGTCCTCTGATGCGCCAGGAGGTTGGACCGCTGACGGAAGCTCTTCCCGCAGTCTTTGCACGTGTTCAGTCTCTCCCTGGGGCGTGGGCCCTTGCGCAACAGGGAGTCTTTGCGGGTCCTGAATATTTCCCCGAGGCGAGTGGGATGATCTGGACAGGAGTCAATTCCCTGCACTGGAGAGAAAGGAAACCTCAGAGTGGGGAACAGCAAAGGGGAGAAAATAAACCAAAATAACTGCTGGGGAGACTGAAAAATCAGGAGTCAAGCCCTTCCCCCGAGGAGAGAGGAGCAAGTCTACCTCTGCATCCCCCTGAACACTCAGCAGGGAGGGAGGTTCTGCAAGGTGTCTGTCAAGACGGGTGGGAAGCCATGAGCAACATCTGCCATGAGGATATGACCCCTGATGGGGACAATCCTGATCGGGGCAGAGCAAGGGATGAGGCAGAACTGGGGGTGCTCATGGGGCCTTTGTGGGAATCCCAGCTGTCTTCTTCACTCACCGATGGCATCTGTGTCAGTTTCATGGATTCCTCACCTGGGCAGTCTCCTCTCGGGTTCTCTCTTTCCCCAGAGCCTTGGAGATCCGAGACCCACGGCTCTTCCTCTTGTTGCCGCCAGGAGACAGCATTGGGTTTGGGAATCGGAGATCCTGTTCACGAGACAGCAGAGAGGCAAAGACCCTGGTTGGTTAAACCGTCCTGGGAATTTACGGCAAGAATGTTCTGGGATTTGGATGGAGGGGGAACATTCATGGACCCCTTGGGGAAATCTCCCTCTGCCCCTTTGAAAGCCCAGGAGGTGGAGACAGGATTTAGGATCGTTCCATTTCCAAATCTCTCGTCCCATGGGAGGAAACGTGGTGGTTCTGGCCTCATCACAGAAATTTAGAAGACCTACGCCGATCCCAGAGCTGCAGGGACTACACAGTTTCTAACAAACAATGGGAAAACACACGCTCCCTTACCCTGTGAGGTCCTGTTCGCATAGTTCTCCTGCATGGCGTCCCTGTAGAGGGCCCTCTGACTGGGGTCAGTGAAATACAAAGCCACTTCCTTGAAGGTCACCGGTCCCTGAAACAACAGGCATTTGCCACTCAGCACTTTCTACCTCAGCCACAATCCCACCAGCTCAGCCACAGGGGACCCAGACTGGTGTGTCCGCTCCATTCCCCAATACATTATGTCCTGACAGTTCCCATAACCCCCCAGGTTAGATCTGCATCCAAACTGGTCCCTCAGTCCAGGCTGCTCCATGCACACCTGCTCTGTCATCACACCCAGATTTGCCTCTTCCTTGCTGCTCCAGACATAAGAATGGCCATCCTGGGTCAGACCAATGATCCGTCTAGCCCAGTCTCCTGTCTTCCAGCCGGTGCCAATGTCTCAGAGGGAATGAACAGAACAAGGCAACTATCGAGTGATTCATCCCCTGTCGTCCAGTCGCAGCTCCTGGCAATTGTTTTGCAATGTAAGGAAAGTCAGATCAGAGAGCTGTGGCTGTGGAAAATGCGTCTGATGTTGCAAGATCAAATCCAGGCTTGTCTTGACCTGAAGGCCCGTCCGACTCCGTACACGCATGGCCCTCATCCCATCCGCATTACAGGGAACAGCAGCGCAGAGAGACTAAGTGGGAATCAGGGGTGTGGCCTAGTGGTTAGAGCAGAACGGGGCAACACGGCTTCAAAGTTACATCACATCCCCGTCCTTCAGTTTCCTCATCAGTACAATGTGGATAACAAAACCAGCCTAGCTACCGGGTAGGTGAAAGCCTGGGGTGGAAGGAGCAGCATTAACGTATTATTATTAGCCAGAGAGAGGCCAACTCAGAAACAGCTCCCTTGCTACGCACGCTCGCAATCACAAGAAGTCACCCAAAGATGCTGCTTTGAATGTGGCAGATCTGTCCCGAGTTTGTCACAGGGTCGGGTCTCATTCCACCCAAGAGGGGAGATTCCTGCTTCCCAGTAACAGGCACCTGTCCCAACCCTACCCTGTGTATTTCCTGCCTGACTCTCTCTACAGGACAAACCCACAGCAGCTCCCTGAGAAATCCTCCTACCTGAGCAGGCTCTGCTCCAGCCATTTCCCTGCACTGGCCCGCAGGAGAAGGGGATGATCAGGAGTGAACCGTGGACCTTGTTCTGCAGCCTGTCAGGGGGAAAGGGGAGGTTTCAGATGGGACTTGAGTCCATTTCACACCGGATCCCCCCCTAACTCCATCCCTGCAGAAAAACCTCCCAGATTCTGCTGCCCCTGCCAGTCTCTCCCCCTGTCTCCATCCCATCCTCTCTCCCCTCCCCTCGGGCTCGGAGACTCGGTCCCTGGCCCGGCCCGGGGCGTTCGCTCTCCCGGAGCTGGCTCGGCTCCTGCAGGAGCTCAGGGGGGCAGAGCCTGGGGGTGTCAGGGAGGGCAGCAGCTCTGGGACTCGCAGACCCCGCCCCCCCCGGGAGCAGAGCTGTGGCGAGGAGGGGGCGTTGGTGCAGAGTCACTTTCCTGGCCGGCCCCAGCCCTTTCCCCCGGGTCTCTCCCCTCATCTGCAGGCTGCAGCTCAGGGGCTGGTGTCGGCAGAGCCCGGGGCTGCCCCAGGGGCTGGTTCCAGCCCCCGGAGAAAGTCCCCCGGCTGGGCACAGGGCGGGGTTAGTCCAGGTCTCTCCCCGCACAGACCCCGCGGCGGAGCAGCGGCAGCTCAGCCCAGGATCACAAGCAGCAAGTCCCATCCAGGAGCCGCACAGCCGCTCCTCCCTCCCCCGAGCATCCACACGAGCCCCAACTGCTCTCAGCTGCTCCAGCCCCTTCCTGTTCCCCTCAATACCAAGCCGAGCTGCAACACTCACTGGATGGAGCCGCCCTGATCCAGGCTGGGGGGCGAACTAATACAGATGCTGAGTGAGGCCCACCCAGCTCAGCGAGCCTCCAGCCTAGGGGAGGCGGCTACCAGTGACCACCCCCCCCGGCTCTGCCAGATCCAGCAACCCCCGAGCAGAGACAGCTCAGCCCGGTTCCTCCCCCAGCTGCAGCCCCAGCTCCTGAGTCCTCTTGCCTACCTCGTGATGAGGGAAGGCGTGACCGAGAACTTCCCCTCTGCTGTATCACATGCCCAGTGACGGGCTGTTAAGGGTTAATGGGATTTTATGACCCCAGTGTTAGTCACAGGAAAAATCACGAGCTAAACCACAGGAAAATCACAAGATGGGCTTAAAAGGGGTGAGGTTTTAAAAGGTCGAAGTTACTTTTGTTTGCTTTCTACTTTTTGGAACCTTTAAAGAGTTCTGTTTTCCAGGTTTATTTGGCAACGGTGGTGTTGTTTTTGGTGTGGTTTAGGAGGCTTTTATGTTTGTTTGTTTGTTTGTTTGTTTTTAAAAGAAACATACCCCCTTTTCTAAGTGAAAGCAGAGATTTTCCCATGATCACAGGAGTCCAGGAGCTGGGACTTATCACAAGACTGGTAATTAAAATCCAGAGAGTTGGCATTTCTGTTATTTAATATATATTTATTTATGAGTTCTGTTGCAGAAGCATCCACACATTTCAACCAGGACTAGAGCGTGTGTAACACTCTCTCTCTCTCTCTCTCTCTCTCTCTCTCTCATCCCTGGACTCTGAAGGGATAAAATCACCCTGAAGAAAGCAAAGGATTTTTAGTAGGATTATTTAACCGCTTTCCTTTTAAAAAACAAAAAACTTTTTATTAAGGCAAAGTTACAATAAAAGGTTAACATACTACATTACTTATCCCATCAGTATTAGAACCTGGCTAAACCAGAATCTTTCCTTTGTTTTTAACAACTATTTTACAATGTTACCAGCTCTCACAATTGCATCATGAGGCTTGCAATCTTTGGTGCATTTCTGAAAGTCCCAGCTCCTGGATTCATGTTATTCCACAAAAGTCTCAGCTTTCAGTTATAAAAATATAGGAATGTAGGACTGGAGGGGCCCTTCTGGGCCAGTGAGTAACCCAGTCCCCTGTTCTCACAGGCAATCCCATCATATAATCCCATTCATGAATTGATCAAGCTCTATTTTAGTATTCATTAGGTTGTTTGCCCCCACTACGACTATTGAGAGGCTGTTCCAGAACTTCACTTCCAATTTCCAACCTAGATTTATTCATGGCCGGTTAGTTGCCCTGTTGGTTTAAAAGGAAAGCTTGCAAATTTGACCTGATTGCTTCATAAAAGTTCAAAATGTAGAAGGCAAATAAAAAAGCCATCTAACATCTATCTATCTATCTCATGATCTGCAAGGTAATATCATGATCTTGGGAAGGACCTGACTCATGGTTTTTGAAGATTTGGGGTTTGTTGTGCTGTATTCAAATCCAGTGAAAACTGAACATTTGGGAGAAAACATGTCTTTGTTAGTGGTCTGACACACTGCTTCTTCAGCGAATATGTGACAGCTCACAGTTCGCATGTCTCAGGCCTCCAACTTCCAGCAAAGTTCGGGTGCGTCTGATTCAGACGTCCTGATATTGCTCAGTTCAGAAAAAGCAGGGGAGGTGGATTTTTAAAATGGAGGTTTCCTTTATACATCATTAAAAAAAAAAGCACAAACTCAATGTTAAAACATCCCTTTGCAGGTGACTTTGAAGAGTGAGGATCAGCGCGCGAGCAGCGACTGAGAAACGCAGGACGGGTAGCGAAGACTCTCCATGTGTGAGGGTAGAAAGGAGAATGAGACACCAAAAAGCATCGCTGCCCTCTGGTGTGAACCCCATCCCCCAGCCACCCAGTGTGGGTCCCTCATAGGTCCTTGGGGTTAGTCCCATGCCCCAGCAGCACCCTGGCATGATCCCCCCTCATGTCCCCCTGGTATGATCGCCCATAGGACCTTGCCTCAGGCCTCTCACCCAAGGGGGCCTCTCTCCCTGTTTCTGACCCATCCCTCAGGCACCTGCCCCCAGCCTGGTATCTGTTGCCCCAGGGGACCACCCTCACCAAGCGAGCAGGTAGTGGACAAGTTTGGGTGGAGGCGACAGTGCTGCCCCTCAGACCAGTTTGTTTGGGGCTCAGCAACCCCTCCGGAGGGGGATCACACCCCAGCAGCATCCCAGGGGCCCAGCCCGGCACTCTAAGCAGCACCAGTCTCCTGGCACCAGGAGAAGCTCAACTGGGATCCACTCCCCATCCTGGGTAGCCCAACCCAGGGCTCAGCTCCATCCCTCACCCCCGGGTACAACCAGAGGGAAGCAAGAGAGTGATGGAGTCACATAGGTTGGGGAATGTCTCCTCCCCTCCTTCAGGATGGGGGGGGGGAAAGAAAGTGACCCACCCCTGAAGCAGAGGAAGCTGGTGGGGCTAAAATGGGGCTTTGGTGTCCCCCCATTGAATTCACTGGAGTAGGGTGTAAAGGGGCCACCTTTTCCCCAAGACCCTGCCTCCCACTCATTCCTCTCTGTCCCCTCTCCCTCGTCACTCACCCTTGCAGGGTGCGGGGCAGGCCAAAAGTTGGGAGGGTGGGCGGGGGGGAGGCCATAAGAACATAAGAATGGCCATACTGGGTCAGACCAAAGGTCCATCTAGCCCCGTATCCTGTCTGCCAACAGTGGCCAATGCCAGGTGCCCCAGAGGGAACGAACAGAACAGGTAATCATCAAGTGATCCATCCCCTGTTGCCCATTCCCAGCTTCTGGCAAACAGAGGCTAGGGACACCATTCCTGTTCATCCTGGCTAATAGGCATTAATGGACCTGTCCTCCATAAACTTATCTAGTTCTTTTTTGAACCCTGTTATAGTCTTGGCCTTCACAATATCCTCTGGCAAAGAGTTCCACAGGTTGACTGTGTGTTGTGTGAAGAAATATTTCCTTTTATTAGTTTTAAACCTGCTGCATTTGGTGACCCCTAGTTCTTGTGTTATGGGGAGTAAATACAACTTCCTTATTTACTTTCTCCACACCAGTCATGATTTTATAGACCTCTATCATATCCCCCCCTTAGTTGTCTCTTTTCCAACCTGAAAAGTCTCAGTCTTATTCCTCTCTCCTCATATGGAAGCCATTCCATACCCCTAATAATTTCTGTCGCCCTTTTCTTAACTTTTTACAATTCCAATATATCTTTTTTGAGATGTGGCGACCACATCTGCACGCAGTGTTCAAGATGTGGGTGTACCATGGATTTATAGAGAGGCAATATGATATTTTCTGTCTTATTATCTATCCCTTGCTTAATGATTCTCAACATCAGGCTGTGTTAAGGAAGAGAATGCAAACATCCTACTGCCATGATATAGGATAGGTGAACCTTCCCTGAGTATGGTGTGTGTGCTGAGTGCAAAAACAGAGAGAGTGCAGACAAAGACAGGAGATGGTTGGGGATCTGAGGAGAGATTTCTATATGGGGAGATGCTGAAAAGACCAGGGCAGTTTATCGCAGAGAGGAAACAAGTGAGGGGCCAGTGAGGGATGAGCAGAGTGAGGGGGCTGGGGCTCTGCTGTTCAGAATCAGCCTGGCTCAGCGTTCAAGGAGAAAAGGAGCCAGGTCTGGTGTAGGTGCTGGAACTGGGGGTGCTCACTTGAAGTGGTTTCCATGTAGAGTGACCAGACAACAGGTGTGAAAAATCGGGATGGGGGTGGGGGGGGGTATTAGGAGCCTATATAAGAAAAAGCCCCAAATATCAGGACTATCCCTATAAAATCAGGACAGCTGGTCACCCTATTTCCATGATAAACAGGGTTTACAGTTTGGTTCAATGGCTTTCAGCACCCCCACTGTACAAATTGTTCCAGCATCCTTATGGTCCCTGCTCTACCACAGCCAGGCACAGGTTTTGCAGCAAGAGGGCTCTAGTGATGCTGAGGGAGGGGAGGCTGGTCTCTGTTAACTGTCTGGCTTGAGCTTCCTGGGTCAGAGGCTGTGGTGGCTGCATCTGAGCCCGGGCTGAGCCGCAGCTGCTCCCCAGCGGGGTGTGTGCGGGGAGAGACCTGCATTAACCCCTCTCTGCGCCCAGCTGGGGGACTTTCTGCGGTGGCTGGAACCAGCCCCTAGGGCAGCCCCGGGCTCTGCCAACACCAGCCCCTGAGCCGGAGCCTGCAGGTGAGGGGAGAGACCCGGGGGAAAGGGCTGGGGCCGGGCAGGAAAGTGACTCTGCACCAATGGCCCCTCCTCGCGCCAGCTCCGCTCCCAGTGGTCTGCGAGTCCCAGAGCTGCTGCCTCCCAGTCCGTGCACTAGCTAAGAGTGCAGCTGTGGTCTGGGTGAACCGAAATGTAACATGCAAAGAGCAGTGAGTCTCCATGGGGCTAGGGGAGGGTGTGAGCAAGGAATGAGAACTGTAACCATCAGTGTCCAGCATAACCTATGGGAGACTGGAGCAGCAGTGCTGGCTTGATGCGCTGCCTGGGACTGACTCCTGGCACAGCCAGCACTTCTTGGAGCATAGCTAAGGTCCTGCAATCAACACATCCAGGGTTGGCAGGATGGCTCTCTGCTTCAGGCACTGGACTGGGACACCTGGGTTCTGTCCCTGGCTCTGCCACTGACTCTCCGTGTGACCTTGGGGAAGTTGCTTAGTCTTGCTCCATGCCTCAGTTTCCTCCTCCGTAAAATGAGGACGTTAGTACTTCATCTCATCGCTTGGATTTAAATAGTAAACTCTTTAGAGCCCAGGCTGTCTTGTCCTATGTGTCTGCACTGTGTAGCCATGGGGTGCAGATTTCCGTGGGGGTTTCTAGCTGCTACCGCAATGCGCTCGATAACTGTGCCCCTCTCTCCCCAGAGCGTCCTGCATCTTTGGACATGGCTCTGGTTTCTACAGCTGTGTCTACACAGCCCATAGCACTGAGCCTTCCAGACTGGCTCGACAGATTCGGGCTAGCAGGCCTCACAAAAATAGCTGTATAGCCAGTGCTTTGAAGTTGTCTAGGATTGGGGGTGAAGGTGGGCTTCAGAGCCTGAGCTCCAGCCCAAGCCACAACTCCAACGCACTGTCTACACGGCCATTTCTAGAGCTGGGCTCACACTTGCCCAAGTCTCTCAACCCAGGCTGGGAGACTTCCTGGCGCAGGCTGTGTAGACATACTCTACAGCCACAGAATGTGGATTTACACCAGAAATGTGTCTGACCCACCAAACCCCCGTTGTGTGGCCATCTCTCCTTAAATAGCACTTCCCTACTTTGCAGGGGTGTTGTTAAGATTGTGCGGGGCTCACATATTACAATAATGGGGCTATCTGAGTTGTCTAACAGATTGATATAGCGGAGATCTTCTACAAAACACCCTCCCCCCCTCGGCAAATGTTTTCTTTTCCATGAACACGTCTCGCTGTGTTCCGATTTCATGCCCACAATGGGGCCAGAAGTCAAAACATGGGTTTTTAAATAAAATATCCTGCAAATCTACAACAAACCCTGATCTCTCCTGTTTTAGTTCCAATAACTAGGGTTTTCTGATGGCTAAACCCGACGTGATCTCCCAGCTGGGACGAGGGAGAGAGGTCCCAGCTCTCCAGAGATCCAAGGAAAAGCAGATCCCGAGAGATGCCCGCGCAGGTGAGGAATCACTTAAAGCGACAGAGACGTGCCATCGGTGAGTGAAGGAAACAGCTGGGTTTCCCAAAAAAGCCCGTTTGAGCCCCCCCAGTTCTGTCCCATCTCACCCAGGCCAGTTTTGTCCCTGACAAGTGTTGTATCCTCATGGCAGCCATGGCTCATGGCTTCCTGGCTGACACCCAGCTATAGCTCCCCCAGGGATGTGGAGGCAAAACTGGTCTTTTCCTCTTGCTATGCTGGGGAAGGGTTTGGGAGGACTCAGCTCCTGATTTTTTCATCTCCCTGGCAGCTATCTTGGTTTGTTCCACACTTCTAAGGTTTCCTTCCCTCTCCCCCCACCCCACATAGGGAATGACTCCTGTCTGGTTTTTCTCTCTATCCCAGCAAGTGATGGGACCGTGGATGAGAACCAGGAGGAGAATTCTCAGCAGGAAGGTCCTAAGCAAGTGGAACCACATGGGACATCATCAAGATCTGATGGGGACGTTTCCCAGAGTCCTGAGCATGGAGATGCCTGTGACATCCAGCACAGGCCAGAGAGGCTCAGAGAATGGTCAATCAACCCTGCGTGGAGGAAGTCCGAAGGGACTTGGAGACGCAACAAAGACCCCTCCGGCACTGAACGCCTGCTGCCCCGACTGCAGGAAAAGCTTCCACCGTAGCTCAAACATCGTCCAACATCAGAGGACCCACATGGGTGAGCGACCCTACTGCTGTGCCGAGTGCGGAAAGAGCTTCAGCTACAGCTCCTCCCTCGTCAAACACCAGAGGACCCACACGGGCGAGCGACCCTACAAGTGTCCCAAGTGCGGGAAGGGCTTCAGCCATAGCTCCAACCTAACAGAGCACCAGAAAACCCACAGCATTGCCACACCGTACACGTGCCCCGACTGTGGGAAAGGCTTCAAGGTGAGGTCCAACTTCCTCCACCACCAGTGGGTGCAAACCGGGGAGTGGCCCTACCGGTGCACCAAGTGCGGGAAAGCCTTCGCCCAGAGCTCCGACCTCATGAAACACCAGTGGAGCCACACGGGTGAGAGACCCTATCAATGCCCTGACTGCGAGAAGCGCTTCACCCGCAACACGTACCTGGTCCAGCATCGCTGGGTTCACACCGGCAAGCGCCCCTACCTCTGCCCTGACTGCGGGAAGGGCTTTGTAGTCAGCTCACGCCTCCTTGCCCAATGGAGGGTGCACACGGGAGAGATGCCCTACTGCTGCGCCCAGTGTGGGAAAGGGTTCAAGGTGCGGGCCAATCTCCTGCACCACCAGGGGATCGACACTGGGAACAAGTCTTTCAAATGCCCGGAGTGCAAGAAAAGCTTCAGTCGCCGCTCCAACCTGCTCATCCACCAGCGACTGCACACTGGGGAAAGACCCTTCAAATGCACCGAGTGGGGGAAGGGCTTCAGCCGCAGATTGGACCTGGTGACGCACCACAGGATCCACACAGGCGAGAAGCCCTACACATGCCCCGAGTGCGGAAAGGGCTTCACGCCGAGGTCCCACCTGGGGGTCCACCAGAGAACCCACACCGGGGAGAGGCCCTGCCAGTGCGCAGACTGCGGGAGGAGCTTCAGTCAGAAATCGGCCCTGGCTAAACATCAGAGAGTGCACCTGGCAGAGAGGCACGATCCACAGCCCTGACTGCGGGGGTGGGTGGATAATCGATGTGTTCAGAGTGAGGGCAGTTCTAAAAGAATAAAAATATTTTTAAAAACTTGGTCCGGGCAAAACCAAATCTAAATTTTTTTGAGACTTGCAAATAAAACTCATTGTGGACATGTTCCACAGCAGGGATTTGAAGCTGGGTCTTTCATGTCCTGGGTAAGTGCCCCACTCACTCATTGCCTTGCTTGGTGTCTCTTTTTGGCCCCAGGAGTGATCTAGGGAGCCCCACCGTGGAATATCCCACAGCTCACTGACTAGGGCTTGCTTCCAAGAAGTAGGAGACCTCTGTTCCGATACTTGCTCTGGCAAAGGGGGGAAACTGAACCTTGATTTCCCACAGCCAAAATGAGTGTCTGAACCAGTGGGCCAAACATGGTGGGGGAGGGTCAGCAGCAGTTCCTTCGTTTTGTGAATAGCTGAAACTATTCATGTCACATTTGTAAATAGTTTCAGGCATTTTTCATTGAATAAACTATTTGTCCCTCCAGAAATTTGCCCAGCTCTATGCAGGACACATTAGCCTCTGCAGAGCCAATTATTAACATTGCAATAGCACCCATATTGACATAGATGCTCCATTGTGCTAGGCACAGAGAGAGACAGCCCCTGGCCTAAAGAGCTCATGATCTAAATAAAACAGATACAGAGAGGACAGCCTATAAATCCTCATTGCACAGCTAAGACAAAGGGGATGTGCCTTGACCAAGGACATGTAGGAGACCAGTGGCAGGTCTGGGAATAGTACCCAGGTGCTCTGAGTTCCAGCTTAGTGCCCAATCCACTAGGCCAGTACTTCTTAACTAACGTGCTGTGATTACAGCTGTGTGATGAATAGTTTTTTTTAGTTTGCAAGCACAGTAGAACCTCAGAGTTATGAACACCAGAGTTAGGAACTGACCGGTGATCCACACACCTCATTTGGAACCGTAAGTACGCAATCAAGCAGCAGCAGAGACCAAAAAAAAAAAAAAAAAAGCAAATACAGTACAGGAAGGCCAGTATGTCCGGCTATGGTTGAGTTAGATTCCCAAGTATGTGACAGCTGGATGGAATGACAGGTTTTCCCCAGAGGCCTCCTTCAGTCTCCTGATCTCTGACAACTCTCACCAGCTGCCTGACTCATCCGGTCTCCCACACCTCTATCACCCACATGCCCTCTCTTAAGCCTGATGAGGGGTCCTGTCGATCCATGGCCCAGGACAGTCACTGTCATTCCTTCCAGCTGTCACATCCTTGAGAGTCAAACTTGACCATAGCTGGACATACCGGCTTCACCCGGACCACCTGAAAATGAAGATCTCTTCCTGTACTGCCTCTTTATACACCTGTATTGGACCTGGTGTTTGCTCCAGGTGAATACAGCTTTGCAGTCTGGGGGGAGTGCAGCTTCACGACACAGAGTTGAATTGGGCCTCTCGTATTTTTAGTGTACTCCTGCATATGACAGAGAGGAGTCCCCTGATGAGTCACATAGGCCCCCACTTCCTCAAAGGCCAGCGTCACCCTGTGTCTGGGTTGCCAACCTGAAAAGGTTGAGAAACACTGGCCTAGACCATGCTGCCACCCTAGATTGTATTCTAAGTCCCATTATAAGGCTTGTTTGAATTCCAGAGCATTAAAATAAGCTACCCTGATTAGAAATGTCGACTTTTAGTTGAATGTTTCTAACTCAAGAATGGTTTGTTGCCTCCGCTTCCAACTTGCCACGTGGTCGGCTTTCCCTGAAAACCTGCATTCCAGGCTATTTGTGAGAAACTGGGATGCAATTAAGCAAGTCGATGAGTACTTTTTGGGAGGTGTAGTCCAGAGGAAGGATGGGCTAGCACCATGATCCTGAGACTGGGGCTTACAAGCCACAAATGGCTCTTTAATGTGTTTCTGGCAACTCTTTGCAGCACATGATATTAAAACACAGGGTGATTTAATTATTAACCAATCTAAGTTATTAACCAATCAGGATGCTTTTACAGTAGAACTTCAGAGCTCCAAACACCTCGGGGACAGAGGTTGGTTGTAACTCTGAACAAAATGTTATGGTTGTTCTTTCAAAAGTTTACATTGAACATTGACTTGGCAGCTTTGAAACTTCACTATGCAGAAGAAAAATGCTGCTTTCCCTTTATTTTTTAGTAGTTTACATTTAACACAGTACTGTACTGTGTTTGCGTTTTTTTTTGTCGTCTTTTCTTCCACTGCTGCCTGATTGTGTACTTCTGGTTCCAAGTGAGGTGTACGGTTGACTGGTCAGTCTGTAACTCTGGTGTTTGTAACTCTGAGGTTCTACTGTACTATGTTATGAACCAATTAAGTTATTAAACTTGCACTAAGTTATTGACCAGTCAGGATGCTTTTACTATGATCACGTGGTTCCTTGCTCATGAAGAGTGGTTGTAGGGCTCAATAAGTATGGTTTAAATAACGTTAAGATTTCTGTCACTACAACTGTAGTTGATAAAATAATAATGCTTGATCAATCATTTTACTGTGAGAATTATATATATATAATTCCCCCCGTCATACAATTTAAATCTGAATATATAGTACTATAGTAAATGAAACAATGAATTCACGCTGCTGTGGCTCTTTTGAGTAATGCTGATCACTAATTTGGCTCCTGACCCTCTGAGGTCTGATTATCACTGAGCTAGTGGTTAGGGCACTGGACTGGGTCCCAAGATATCTGTGCTCATGTTTCGACTCTGTTATATTCTTCTTGTGTGACTTTAGGCAGGGAGTTCTCAAAGTCCCCTAAGGGAGACAGCAAGCTGAATTGCACTGCGAACTGAAGCCTATTGATTTCAATTGTTATTAGGCACCTAAGTACAACAGAACCTCAGAGTTCCGAACACCTCAGGAACGGAGGTTGTTCGTAACTCTGAACAAAACATTGTGGTGGTTCTTTCAAAAGTTTACAACTGAATATTGACTTAATACAGCTTTGAAACTTTACTATGCAGAAGGAAAATGCAGCTTTTAACCATCTTAATTGAAACGAAACAAGTACAGAAACAGTTTCCTTATCTTGTCAAATCTTTTTGTTTAAACTTTCCCTTCATTTTTATAGTAGTTTAAGTTTAACACGGGACTGTACTGTATTTGCTTTTTTGTTGGTTTTTATCTCTACTGCTGCTTGATTGTGTACTTCTGGTTCCAAATGGGGTGTGTGGCTGACTGGTCAGTCTGGAACTCTGGTGTTTGTAGCTCTGAGGGTCTCCTGTACCTTTGAAGAGCTGGAACTCAGTTCCCAGCTCCCTTAATCTTCTTTGAATATCTGGCATTTAGTTTCTATGGGTCTCAGTTCCCATCTGTAAAACAGGGATGGTTCTGGTTCTTTTGTCTACTTAGATTGTAAGCTGTGTGGGGCAGGGAATGTCTCTTGGTCTTTACAGCGCCTGGTGCAATGGGGCCTTGGTCTCAGGTGGCGCTACTGAAATGTAAGTATAGTTTGGCCTGGATTCACAGATCCGTCCCCTGTAAGTACAGAAGTGAAATCCTCCTGCTTTTACAAACTCAGCTACTACTGTGGCGGGGCCTATAGGAACAGATTCATGTGTTTAGGTCTCACTAACTATGAGAATTAGCTTTGATCGATCTATTTATTTTTTAAATAAACGGAATAAGCAGCGCATGCGGTGGGAGCGAGAGATTTCAGAATGGCTCCTCTTTATTGAGTTCAAAGTGACTTCCTGTTCCTTTCGCCCCTTTGCTGCAAGCGCAAAGAAATTGCATTGCACTGCGCAGGAATTTCCACACTCGGTCAGACTCCTGGTCTATCGCTTTCCGTCTGCATCCATGTCCAATACCAGATACTTCACAGGAAGGGGGACATGATTCAAAGCCTTAAGCCTTGTATACACACCCGGTAGTTGTACTGCTTTAACTATACTGGTGTAGTTAAACCAGAACAACCTCCCTAGCCTGGAGGCAGTAATACCGAAATACATGTGCCTATGCTGTTATAGCTTATTCTATACGAGAAGGGGATTTTACCAGTACAGTAAAACCTCAGAGTTACGAACACCTCAGGAATGCAGGTTGTTCGTACCCTGTTTCCCCGAAAATAAGACAGTGTCTTATATTAATTTTTGCTCCCAAAGATGCACTAGGTCTTATTTTCAGGGGATGTCTTATTTTTCAGAAATGAAAAATGCCTTATTATCGGTGGATGCCTTATTATCGGGGAGGTCTTATTATCGGGGGGATGCCTTATATTACAACGAGAGGCAAAACTGTAAGTAGGCCTTATTTTCGGAGGATGTCTTATTTTCGGGGAAACGGTAGCTCTGAAATGTTCATAACTCTGAACAAAACGTTATGATTCTTTCAAAAGTTTACAATTGAACACTGACTTAATACAGCTTTGCAACTTTGCTATGCAGAAGAAAAATGCTGCTTTCCCTTTTTATTTTAGTAGTTTACGTTTAACACAGTACTGTCCTGTATTTGCTTTTTTTGGTCTCTGCTGCTGCCTGATTGCGTACTTCTGGTTCCAAAGGAGGTGTGTGGTTGGCTGGTCAGTTCATAACTCTGGTGTTCATAACTCTGAGGTTCTCCAGTATAAGTATTTCTAGTAAAAAAAAAAAAAATCACTTCCCTAACTGAAATGTTCTACCAATACTAAATCAGAGTATAGCCCATACCTAAATAGATCACTTTATCCAGGCAGCCTGACAGCTGATTCTTTAATCTAGTGGTCCCCAAACGGTGAGGTATGGCACAGAGGAACGTTCGGGGGGGAGGGGGCGACAGGGTCCAGACCAGCCCCCATGGGGGGCAGGGAGGGAACACCACTTAGCCCCGCTCTGCCTCCAGCCCCAACCCCAGCCATAGTTCCAGTATTGGCCAGCAGCTTCCAGTCCTGTTCCTGACCACGGCCCCAGCCACAGCTCCAGCCCTGGCCCTGACTGCAGCTCTACTCCTGGCCACGGCTCCTGATCACGGCTCTGGCCTGGCGGTAGCTCAGCTCCTGGCCCTGGCTCTTGACTGCGACTCTGAGGGGGGCGCTGACCAGGTAAGGTGGGGGCATGACTGAAAAAGTTTGGGGACCACTGCTTTAATCCATACACAGTACTTAGACCTCATGGTGATAAACTCTGCCAGTCCCTAATACAGCCAAATACTTAAACACATGAGTAGTTCCATTAACGTTGATTGAGATTTCTCACATGCTTAAACTTCAGTATTTGTCCTAGGTACTTTTCAGGTTGTTTCATATAGCAGACAATCTTAAAGGCAGGTGGAGAACTAAAATATTGAATAGGTTGCTTTGATTCGGACACAATTTTTCATTACTAGCTTTGGCAAAGAAACTTGATAGTGGTTAGGCTGCTGGAGTGCTAAGAACACTGCTGATCACGCTGACCAACATTGTACCATTGTTTGCATGTACTCCCGGGTCTGTCTTTCTGTATCCATCTGTTGTCTCTTGTCTTAAACTGAGATTGTATACTCTTGTCTCCTGTTCCATGTTTGTACAGCGCCTAGCACAAAGGGCTCCTGATCCTTGACAGGGGCTCCTAGTCACTACAGTAATACAAATAAATAATAGTAATTAGAAAAGTAAAAAGTGAAGAATACAGTCTGTGATGGCCCAGTGCCATTTATTCATTGTTTTCAGTGACTGGAGCAAAGAAAGATACTGCGGTGTAGGTAGTTCTTTCATCAGTGGGTGATTTCTGTGTCCACTGCACACATAGGGCAGATTCTGCTACACGTATTCATATTGAATAGTAGTTGGGAAACATAAGAATTGCCAGACTGGGCCTGTGCCAAGGTCCATCTAGCCCAGTATCCTGTCTCTGACAACGTTCCAGAAGATGTCAGAGCTTTGCTGTAGCAGATGTGGGATAATCTGCCCCCAGACAGATCTCATCCTGGCGATTAATGCGAGACTCCTTCTGCCCCACAACATAAGATGTTTACAAGCAGGAATCAGGCTCACAGATTTTTAATTTTAAAATAAGTGGGCTTGAGACATCGCCAGACTATGAAATTAAAGGAGCGCTGAGCAATCTAATAATGGCTTAGAAACATCCAACTTGCATATTTTCCCAGTGGCTTTGAAATTGTTGTGGAATTAATCTGCCAGGGAAAATGCACTATCCACAGCCAATCTATCATCCTTAGGGATAGGCCAAACTCTGAATTCACTTGCTGTGAATAGTATTTCACTCCCTGATTAATTAATGCCATTGATTTTGAAAAAAAAAATTGAGATTGTTTACTCTAGAAAGTTGATGACTATAAGGGGACATAATTGTCCTAACACATAGGTACCATATTCATAGACCAGGATCCCCTTGTACTAGTTGCTGTACAAGCACATTGTTAAATGCTGATCTTGAATCCAGGACCACAGGATTTTCGGGAAACAGCCCTGGGATGCTTCACCAGTGCTACTCAGACCTCAGTGGTTTTATATATATATATATATTTCTCAAAGCAAATAAATTAATAACTTGCTGCAAGTTGCTAACTTAATTGGTTAATAACATAGTAAAAGCATCCAGATTGGTTAATAACTTAGATTGGTTAAAAATTAAATCACACAGTGTTTTAATACTGTGTGATGCAAGGAGCCGGGGGAGATATATTACGGTTTCCCATTGGAGTGCCTGGGATTGGGAACTCACTGACTTGGTTGGGCCAGCTGCCAGGGTTCTATGATCCACTTCCTGACTGGCCACATAGTCTTGGCCCTGATTGCCTGGTGACTCTATATAAATTTCCTGTTTTGCTACTAGCCTTGTCTGTGCAACAGGCCATTGCCTTGCTAGTGCTGGCCTCACCTGACCCTGCCTTGCCCTTGCTGTGCCTTCCCCTTGGATTGGATCTCACCATGATCAGGATTCTTGCATGAACTCTGTTCAGGACTCCCTTTTGCCCCGCCTTACTGCCGGACATTGCCCACAGAACAAAAAGACAGTCTCTGCCCTAAGGGTCTTAGAAACTTAGTATGAAACAAGAGACAACAGAGGTGTATGGACACAGGCGCTGGCTTCCAATTGTCCTGGGAGATGCTCAACCCCCGCTCAGCCCCACACCCTGCCCCCACTCCATTCCTTCCCCCAATGCCCCTCCCCACGTCTCCCTGCCCCTGCTCTAATCCCGCCCCGCCCCTTCCCGCACCCTTCCCTGAGTGCACCCCCTCCCAGCTCCTCCCCCTCCCTCCCAACTCCTCCTGCACGCCTCGGAACAGCTGATCCATGGGGGGCAGGAGGCACTGGGAGGGAAGGGGAGGAGTTGATCG